TAATAGACTTCAGAAGCATGAAGATCCTTTCTACACCCTCGTTGGGATACTCGGTTATTCAGGCGCTCTGGAGATCACTACACTCTTATCTGTTGACTCCAGAACACTCTCCTATCAGCTTAGGAAGCCTGCCCCCCAATTATGTCACAATATTAAAGAGTGCCGGCTTGTGCATACCTAAGGGGACCGAGGGTCAGATGCAGCAGCAGCAGTGTGGTGCCTTTTTATTAATTTTAATTAGTGTTTTCATGAGGAAGTGTCGTTTTAACTTTTTCTTTTAAAGAAAATGACACATTATCCGCTTTCATCTGTTTCACTGCCTGGCAAATTAGTACTGATGTAAAAATTAAATTTTGTAGATTGTAGGTTCTTTGAGAAATTTATCCTCAGGTTATTAATGTGATAAAAACCTACACCTAATATATAGCTAAGCACGGATTATCTGTCAAGTGCTGTTCTAAACCCTTTCTCTGCACTAACTGATATTTATATCTTGATCACTGGATCCCCCTAAAGACAAAATGATACAGTCCTTTATTTGGTTACAACCTATTGAACACCCTCTTTATACTACCATAGAACTAAGTTGAAAATGTTAATATTTTAGAGCAGAGTAAAAAATATACATAAGAATTTAGAAATTTATGGAAGTGTTATTTGTTAGACTGTATATGGAAGTTCTACTTTGTGAGACATCTGTCAAACCTAGATAAGATATTTCAAGAAATAATAATAATAATAATAATAATAATAATAATAATAATAATAAGCCTGGACACTTGGAAAGAAAGCTAGGTCTCTTGGTACACCAGAGCATGTATGGAGGGCCCAGCAGTGGAATGTTGGTGCTCCCTGAGGATTCACTAACGTGTGCATGCAGAACTAGGCAGAGGCAGTGCTGAGTTAAGCAGTGAGTAATGAGGGAGAATAATGTCTCAAAACAAACTTTCAGCATGCTATAAACTGTCATTTCTGTCTCTTTCCTTTTCTAAGGACCTGCTAAGATGGTACAGTCTGAAAGGCTGATACTTGGTCTATTACAGTAATAGTCTTGAGACTACTCTGGATATAGAACTCAGAGGAAACTGCAACAGAGGTGCTCTGAAATATTGGGTTACCTGGGCCATCTGCTCCTATTGGAGACTTTTCAGGAGATCTTCCTTGATCAAACCTGATTTTTCTTTTCCCAGAATGAATCCACAGCTTCTTATTTCTTGTGAAAACAAAAGCATAACCTCTTCTCTAAAGTAACATATCTTTTGACTTAAATTTTGAAAACAAGGCATTTTCAAAATATGTAGGTTGGATTAACCCAGCAGCATTTATAATCAAATGTCCTTTAGCAGCTGTTGCTCCTGCCTCAAAAATCAAACAATTAAAAGACAACACAATTACACACAAGTTTCCAGATTCTCTGTGTATTTTCCATCTTTGCATGCATTTATTATAAACTCCATTTCTTTTATTTTTAATTTTTTTTTTGAGACAGGGTTTTTCTGTGTATCTTTGACTGTCCTGGAACTTGTTCCATAGACTAGGATGCCTTTGAACTCATAGATATCCAACTGCCTCTGCCTCCCAAGTGCTGGGATTTGTGTGCCACCACACCCAACTAATTTCCTAATTTCTTTCTTTCTTTAAGGAGTTTATCCTTTTTTCTTTTCTTTCCCAAGCCTATGTATATTTTAAAGACATTATAAAGCATTTAGAATTTTTTTCTGAATCTGTCTTTACTGTATATACTTGTTCTGACCACATCAGTCTTTAATTTACTAAGTGTTATTACTGGGACTACAGCTATGGCTCAGTGAAGTTTCTAGGTCCATGCCACCATCAACAAGCATACCAGTGGCTGCTTATAAATACCATTTAAGTGTTCGGTGGCAGGGCCTCTTAAAAGAGTTATGAGGTTTTTGTTGCTAACACTGACTCAGGAAGCATCTCTTAAAGGAGCCACGCTTCTGCTCACCCCTAGCAAACAAAGCCTACCAGATCCTCTACCCAGAATTCTCCTAGTTTGGTTACCCCACCAATACTTGCTGCCTGGCTACTGGCCAATCAGTGTTTTATTAAACCAATGAGAGAGATAAATATTTGAAGCGTAAAAGAGCATTATCCCATAGGAAAGGATGCTGGGATTCTGCTAGGGATGAAGGAGGTACCTTAGATAATGATGATAATAATGATGATTTGATTTAGTCTGAAGTTGGTGACTTATATTTTAAATGGTAACAGGTAATCTTGGACAAGCAAATGATTTAGTTAGAAATTAATATTGCCAGACTCTAGTACATGTTGGGGAAAACCCTTTCTTTTACCAATTTAAGTCTAATTGGACAGCTGATGTAATTTCTAAAAGCTGGATATGTCTCATTTATGCTTTGGCCTGAAATATTAAGAAGGAGTTGCCCTCAACCAAGCTCTGAGAGGAATTAGTGTGGCTCCCTAATTATCTTTAAGGGCAGTTTATCTATATTGTTGAGTGTTTTGATGCTGTGCCCTTTACTGGCTCGTCCTTCTGTGTATCAGTTCATCATTTCCTGGTCAGTGCTTTATGATAGAAGACTTATACCCAAAATTGTGTTTGTGGAATACTTCTGAAACAATATGTTATGTGTATAGGTACACAATAAGTAATTTTTGAGTGAGTGGATTGTTGGACAGATAGATGAAGAGATTGTACACTGGAATTCAATGTGGGATCTTGTGTAATATATTACACTGTTGATAACAAAATAAACGACCATTGTGTTCATTCTTTTTGGGCTGCTTGGCTCACAAAAATCACATAAGACTGAATAAAGTTGTATTTTTGTTCATATATACATATTAATATATTTGTATCTCTATATATTTGTGCCAATGTATGTAGAGACACAAATATATTAAACTAACACATATATACATATAATATACAAATATGCTTTTATTTTCTATAATAGCAGATTCTTAAAAACTAAAATTTTCTTTAGTCTTGCTGTCCAATTCTTGATGATTTCATGAATGCATATTTTAGGTTCAGTCTTTATAGTTACTTTGCTATTATTGTATTTATTTTAAATATTAAAATGTGCTATGCAAACTCATAAATGAAATTCAGTATCCTTACAGCATTTAGATGAAATTGGCAATTACAAATCTAAACAATCACTTTTTAGAATGTACATGTGTGTGAGAAATGGGCTGTAAGAGATATCAGTTGGCAAGATTTAGAGCCACAGAAAGCAGTGAGAAAAATGGGAGCTGTGGCCAACTAGGGTGATGTCATTGAGTTATGTGTGGGGCATACATTTAGACATTAATTCTGTGTTCCTAGGAAAATTCACAGAAATTTTTAGGACATTCCTGTAGCAACTTAAATAGAGTTCACATTGTACTTTTGGCTGACTGTGAGTAGAGTTAACTAAGACCGTCTTCAAAGGCTCTAAGATTATGAGTAGGGAAGACTAAGTCAGAATGTCAGCTTCCCAAAGAAAGGAACACCAGGGTTGGATAATCTTTTGCATCCTTAGCTTGTGCTGGTATGGAGCCTGTAAATGACCCTGCAGACACGAAAAGCAAGAGTGACTTGCCTAACTTGCAACTGTCATTAGTATTACTCTAAATGAAGACTGCACTGAGCTAGTAAATAGATTGTCACCTGGAGACTGAGACTGCTCATTCATTTCCCAGACCCAAATAATCACACAGAAACTATACTAATTATATCAATGTTTGACTAATATCTTAGGCATATTTTTAGCTAGCTCTTACAGCTTAAATTTACCCATTTCTCTTAATCTATGTTTCACCATGAGGCTATGGCCTACCAGTAAGTTTCCGGCATCTATCTTCTTTGGCAGCGACATTGCATCTGCCTGACTCCACCTTCCTTCTCCCTCCACTCAGTTTAGTTTTCCTGTCTAGCTATATTCTGCCCTGCCATAAGCCAAAGCAGCTCCTTTTTCAACCAATGGTAACAAAACATATTCACAGCATACAGAGGGAAATCCCACATCAGTCACCAAAAGCATTCTTAAAAATCACAAAAGATTCTAAGTACTATTGGTACTCTAGGTGGGTTATCAGTGTATAGGTACACAACAAGTGAACCTATGAATCTGGATTAACCTTCTTTAAGGCAATTGCCCTGTAATGGGGTGGTGTAACATTTGTTCTTCATTAACAATTTGACACACCTGGGAAAATGGAACCTCAAGTTGAGGAATCGCCTCCATCACATTGATTGCTGATTGGTGGAGGAGGGTGGAGCTCGTTGGAGGCTGATGGTTCTGTGCAGGAGGGCAAACTGAATGGAAGCCAGAAGTGAGCCAGGGTTTCACTTCCTGCCTTCAGGTCCCAGCCTTGGGTTCTTGCACTGGCTTCCATCAGTGATGGACTGTAATCCAAATAAACCCTTTCCTTCTCAAGTTGCTTTAGGTTAGTATTTTACCACAGAAGCAGGAAGCAAACTCAGATAGGGAGATTGAAATTTATTTGTGTTTAAAAAAGCATCATATTACATATGAACTCAAATTAAACATACAGATGAAGAATATTGCTCAGAGATTGATTTCCAGGAAAGACTAAAGTTCTTTAATGAATTGGCTTGCTGTTTCTTCATGGGTTTTGAGAATCCTGACATTCTGTTTCTTTCTAAATTTTGGCTCTAAAAGAGTTCAGAACTTAATGTTCAACTCAATCATCTTAATCAATGGGACTATAATAACTAGAATATCTCTAAAAGTTTTTTTGATCTTTAAGATCAATTCCAGTTTTCTTTCTTCCTGGCCCCAGATATTGTAGACTATCTGTACCTTAATTGACACATGGTAATTGTACACTGTCATGAAAGCTGAACTCTTCCAAACATTGCCTATGTTTTCGCCTGTTACTTTCTGTATGTATTTTCTATGCCATTACAAATGTGTTGTGGAAAGTGGACCAATTAACACTCATGCTTCTTACAGAAACTCTGCTCACTTCTTCTTGTGTAACTGCGCATTTCTCTCTTTGTGAAGGCCAAATGTCTGCAAGGAGGAGCAGCTGGTGGTGGTAAGACTGTCACGCCCATGCACCCGAGCTTTCATTGACACCGTCAAGTTCTGGAAACAAGGCTGCACAGGCCCACGGTGGTGTGTGGCTTATGAAAGAAGGTAAGGTGATGTCCTTACTCCTTTAACTCCTAAAACTCGAAATGAGAAGCTTCACCTATTCCTAAATGCCTTTTCCCATGAACTGTAGTTGGTTGGGTAACTAAGTAGAGGGCAAAGGGAGACTTACCAAGAACATTCACACTTACATAGATGGCTTCCTTCAGCAACAGGATGGACACTTATGTTAGACCTTGCTTATGTGTGAACTATTTTTGGTTATAGACACTAATTTTACCTCAGGATATGATATATCATTGAAAGCTAAAGATCAGAAAGATGGCAGAAACAAGGAATATTGTGTTGGTTTGTTAAATTTAGCTCGACTTGATCCAGGCTTTCTATAGCTGGGAAGCAGCATCTGACCTGCCCTTGTCACTCTGCAGCACTTTGAACCCCACAGATTCTTTAACTTTCTCATGGCCTTTGAATTAGGATCAACCCAGCAGGCTGTAAGAAGAGAGAAAAGCTAATGTCCACAATGCTTTCTAAGAGTCCAGGCCTCATCATTTTTTTTTTAAAGTTTTGAAATCGTTTCACAAAACATCTAAGAGCCTCTTGATAGAAGTGTTTGCTATTGGGTATTGGGTTGGATTTTATGAAAATGATTTAAATGAATCTAAATTTATGATAAATCTTAACAATAAATTATGGTTTTAGGTTAATGAATTTATTAATACTACTATTATCAGTGAAAAGTTAGGGTGTTTATAAGTAACTCACCTTGCCATTGTACAACCATGGTGACAGTTATAATACATAACTAAAGGTTTTACAGCTGTAAATATGGGTACCTACTATATTGTGTCCATATGCATACAGATACAGATTTATCCTTTAGATTAGTATTCTTTGGGGTGTTGTTTTAAATTGAGAATATGTAAATGTCAGTTAAGTCAGAAAAGTTTTCCTAATTATTACTTGTTTCATGGCTTTATGTTAAACTCAGTATTTCTCTGTATTTTAGTGTGTAAAGCTGGAAAATCATAGCATGAAGAGTACTGAAAACAGTTTACACATGTCGCATAACTCAATATGTGCGTTAATACAAACCAGTAGGAGTGAATTCATCACAAAGCGTAGGCAACACACATGCTTCTAGTATATACAATTTATTGATTAGATGAATGTGTGTGTCTTGTCTATGTAGACATGCTTGTAGTACATAAGATTTATTTATTAGAGGAGTGCATGTGTGCATAGAGTGTGTGCATTTGTGTGTAGACATGCTTGTAGTATGTACGATTTATTAGAAGTATGTGTGTGTAGACATGCTTGCATATATATGATTTCTTAATTAGAGGAGTATGTGTGTGTAGACATGCTTGTAGTATATATGATTTATTAGAAGTGTGTGTATGTGTAGACATGTTTGTATATATATGATTTCTTAATTAGAGGAGTATGTGTGTGTGTGTGTAGACATGCTTGTAGTATATACGATTTATTAGAAGAGTGTGTGTAGACATGCTTGCATATATATGATTTCTTAATTAGAGTAGTGTGTGTGTGTGTGTGTAGACATGCTTGTAGTATATATGATTTATTGATTAGAGGAATGTATTGTGTGTGTGTGTGGCGTTGCTTCTTGCCTTCCATGTTGCTTGAAACAAGTCTCTCATGTTCATTACTGACTGAGCTGGCCAGTGATGCTCTAGATCTCCTGTGAATGCCTCCCATTAACTCCCTGGGAGGCTGTCATTATAAACATCTGTACTGCTGAGTACAGTCTTCGTGCATATTCTAGGGATTGGACTGGGGTCACTGGATTGGAAGGGAAGCCCTTCATCAATTAAGGCATTTCTCCAGTCCTGGAAATCATTTCTGAAAAGGGTTTTTCATTTAAGTTTTCTGTATTGTCCCAATGTGGTTTAATTGTTGTAGATAGTGATATGACTTAAAGAAAATCCTCAGCCGTGTAGAGGCTTAGACGTGGGAGAAACAAACATGACTACATGTCACAGGCTTCACATGTTTATCCTCAGCCACGTAGTTGTGGGAAGAACAAACCTGACTAAGTGTCAGAGACTTCACATGTTTATCTTCAGCAGTGCAGATGCGGGAAGAACAAACATGACTAAGTGTCACGGGCTTCACATGTTTATCCTCAAGATCTTGCAAGTTTAACAGCTCTGTTTGTGGCACTGATTTGGAGGGGTAGCAATGTAAAAAACTAATTGATGTCTTGCCAAACATACCCTTTTCTGTTTGTATATACATTTAGTCATATCCTGATTGGAAAGATATACACAGAAGTTCTCGGTTGTATTTCAAGATGTTGAATAATTAAATGTGATAAACAATGCTGAAGCCAATAAACTCTCTAGTAATAAAGAGGGTTGACGTAGAGAGGAGAGAATCTGGAGGAAGTGGAAATAGAAGTTGGCATTGAATAATGAAGGATTTGGGCTAGGACATGGGACAAGGTACATGAAGGGGAAAGAATGAGCTAGAACTTCAGGGATAAAGCATATACAGGAATTTGGTTTGATAGAAAGGAAGTCATCATGCTTTGAGATGGGTGATACAGCAGTCAGCTGACAGGTAGGCTCTGGTCCTTCCTCACTGAGAGGACTTTGACATAATCTCCTACTGTACTTGCTTCATCCCAAAGAAACTTTTGACTTTGCATTTATACTTTAAAGATTATTGCCTTATTTTTAAGTGTGTGTGTGTGTGTGTGTGTGTGTGTTTGTGCATCTGAATGCAGTGTCTGTAGAGGCCAGAAGAGAGTGTCAGATCCCCGGGAGCTGGAGTTACAGGCAGTTATAAGCTGTAGGAAATCCTCTGCATTAAAGAACACTTCAGCTCACTTATATGCTTCTTAATCTTCAACAATCCATACCTAAAACTTATGCTGATTGCATGTGTGGTGTAGTAGTTGTATGCTCTATGCAAAGTGCACCCATAGCTAGCCATTCCATGTCTTATCTGTCTCCCAGTATATGTAACAGAATTTGAATCTAAGGGAGAAATTTTTATAATCTTGAAATGATAATTTTGCCATCAGAGGCACAATAGGTTTCCTGATTACTATCCTGTGTGCCATAGGACCCGCTACTACACCGTCTACAGGCAGGTGTATACCACAGAACACCAGACAGTCTTCAGATGCTGCCCCGGTTGGAGTCGATGGGATGACGAGCCAGGCTGCCTCTCCTGTAAGTTGTAATTCTTCCTGCCAGGTTCTGCAACAGGGAATGCTTTTGTTTCCTCCACAGGATGCCTATCGTGCTTTGGCATTTTAAGAAGCACTGGAGATTCAGAGCATTGCTTGAAACCAGTGGTCCTTAGTCTTCCTAATGCTGTGGCTGTAGTCCTTTATATCGTTCCTCATGTTGTGGTGACATCGACCATAAAATCACCGTTGTTACTACTTTATAACTGTAACTTTGCTGCTGTTATGAATTGTAATATGTATCTGTGTTTTCTGGAGATCTTAGGTGACCCCTGTGAAGGGTTGCAACCTCTAGGTTGAGTGCCACTGCTCTAGACTAAGGACTCAGAAGTGACGTGGGAGGAAATGCGTATAAAAAGCCTTTCCGTGAACCATTTTCATGATGGGTTGCAGGTCAGGACCAATGAAAGCTCCTGTATATTCTGTCTACTTAGAGGACAGGTGATTTAAAAGCAGGAAGACTCTCCTTGATGTCCATCCCACTTCACTGTCTTCCCCTTTCCTATATCATCAACTTTGTAATCCATAGTTGATTCAAAAGTCCAGAGGGAAATCACTGTACTAAATCTAGATGGGATTTCTCAACGTGGACTTGTCATGATTAATTGCAGAGCTCTGGAGGCAGCTTGCTATTTAAGATGAGGTCTGCACTCTGTTTCCAAGCCTCAGGTGATGGGATTTCAGAAGCCTTGGAGTCTGGTGTTTGACAGCACTCAGGCAGAGAACTGGTGGCATTCCACAGCTCACAGGGCTGTGGGAAATGGCTCCCTCAAGTGAACCATTTACCTGCATCATGTGCCTATGGCAATTGGGAAGCTCCTTAGATTGCATCTGTGAGTCTAATCAGTGCAGCATCATAGCACAGTTCATCTCTCCTGCCTCTGCACCTTACAGAGTTTGCCAGCTCCTGCCTCCTTTCCTTGTGGGCTTTCTGCTTTTAAAATACATCGGAGAAGTTTTGTTGTGGGCTTCCTATATTAAGCAGGTATAGTGTCAAGTGTTGTGGCAAGAGTGTGTTTACACTCAGGTCACTATGACTGGTTGGTTTAAGATCATAGAAAAGACCTTTCCACAATACTGTCAGAACTGTGTTATAAAGGACAGAAAACAGGCAGCTCTAAGCTAAAGTATTCGTATTTATTATTTAACAGCTACCCGAGTTCTTTGCCTCTGGTTAAATATTAGCATTTTGTTTGATTATTGTTGTTGTTTTAAAGATCATTTTGATCACACAGTCACCTTATCCACGTAGTTCCTTTCTACTGATACTTCTGTCTCGATGTGAACACAATTGGCCTGGTGTAGACTTTAGGGTAGATTTGTATTAAGTACATCTAGAGGGGCTCTCAGAATCTGTGTGTTTGCGAAATTCACAGAAGAGTTTCTACAGATAATTCCGCAAGACTTCTAATAGTCAGCCCTTGTCTAGTAATAGCAATTTTTTTCTATAACCCTCCTGTGTAAGGGGGGCAGTGGAAATTTCAAGATCATGTTATATTAACTGTAAGATGCCTATTTATACTGATCATTTCCTTTCTTTCTCTTGACCCTACCTATTCTTCCTTTGAACACTCCTTTTAGCTGTGGCTTCTCTGGGAACCCATTTTAGTGGAAGGCAGTGCTTGGACGGGGATGATCAACAGTGCCTCTGCTCACAAGGGTTTCAGGGACCCCACTGTCAATACGGTAAGTCACCAGCAGAACCATTCTGTCACAATTCAACGCTGTTTGCTGTTTTGTCCTGGTAGTCTCATGGTGGATTACTTGTCTGGAAATTGGTAAACATCGAATATGAGCCATTAAGCAGAAATCCAGAACCACAGTGTAATATGCATCTTAAAATATGCTCTGTAGCTGAGTTGTAAATTGTTGCTATAGGCATTCAAAGGGTCTTGTAAGAACAGGATGTCTACTTTGTAAAGAAAGGGTCGGATGTTAAGTCTCCCATGGAGGATGGCTTGAAATTACTGCTATGGTATGATATTCTGTGAGATCTCTGGGCTCTATAAATGAGCAAAATGCAATCAGCATGAACTTGACTGACCCTTTACCTGTTACCTTAAAAAAAAATCACAAAACCTGAAACTCATAAGGTTTGAGTGACTCTCAGGGCTTCAACCCTCACTTGATATGTATGTATAAGATTTTCTTGTGTGGAAAGTTTTTGGAACGACCAATGATTTAACCTTTCCGGCAGAATGAAACCTCACTTAAAGCAGAAGGTATGTGTGCTTTCTGTGTCTACCGCTCAGATTTCTGAAGGGAAAACCACAAAGTTTCTGAGGTGCACCACTTGTTCTCTTTCTCTTCCTCACTTGGGGTTAAGAACAGTGCTCCCATCTCCCATGGGCCACTTCAGAGATGTTCCCGTAAATTAATTCCCAAAGTTTTTCCTGGGTTGCCTTTCGAGAAATAAATGAATTAAGACAAAGTCGACATTGAGCGATCTTACACTTGGAAACAGGGATCCATGGAGGCTCTGAGCATAGCATTTATCTTTACAATTTCCAGTGCTTTCGAAACAACAACAATAACAAAGCCACACGTGGATCCATGGTAACAAATTATTTGGCTTTGAATAAAATAGAAGATACTAAAGGCTTCAGTATTTTGGCTCTTAATTGTGATGGGGAATTACAGATGTTATTGGTTGATCAAGAGGTTTTCTTTAAAAACCATAATTATTTATTTATGAATGCATTGTTTTGTGGAGCAAATATTACAGGACATCAGGCTGCAGAACACAAAGGTAATAAAAGAGACATGGTAAAGATAGTAGCCCATTTATACTTGGATTAATTTATTCTTTATCTTTTACACCGGTACTTGAATATTTTGATTATTCCAACTTACCAACTGCCATACACCAAAATAATTAATGTGCTCTCTGAAATTCAAGTGTCAAACTTTTCATTTTTGTAGTAGAAAGATTGTCTTTTACACAAGCTTGTCTTGTTACCGCGAAGTCTCCGGAGCCACAAGATAACACCATCATACACAATACCCGTCAGGACTCCCTGCTGCCCCAGCCAGCACTGCTGTCCAGACTTGCTTCGCTTAGACTCTAACACTGCTTCCTCTCCCACAATAGGACTCTTGTTGAATTTAAAAAAGAATTGACAGCCCTAAGGGGTTCATTTGTGGAGAGTAGGGAGTCTCCTCCTTGGGACTGTATTTCCCTCATCAAAATGAGGTACCCTTTACTATATAAACTAGGTTGTTTTAATGGAGAAATTTTGAAGACTTTCTAGGAAATCAAGCAGTTGAGAAACAGGAGAACCCAATGAAGAGGAAATTACACTAGCTGAATTCTAAAGGATGAGAAGTTCAGATTGTAAAAGCTGTTTGTAAAGTGTAGCTCACAGGACAAAGCCCACTAAGCAGGCTGACTGTAGCCTGGAGAGACAGGCCCCTAACCTAATGCTTCTCTAGGGGCTAGAGTTCTTATGCATGATATCTGCCTCCTCCCATATATATGCACATATATCAGTAAAATAAATTGAATGCTATATTTGAAATTGTATATAAAAATCCCTCAAATGATAAACATTAACAAATTCTAATTATCATTAAATCCCAGTCTATATGATATAGCAAACTAAAACTATACAGAACTGCTGCTGTCTGCAGTTAACCATGATGGGCATCCCATACCTATTTGTTTATGTTCACACGGGTATGAAAAGTGTGTACACTTGAGATCATATTATTCACAGATTTTTTTTTAATGAACATCCTTCTGTTTTTTCCCATCTAATGTGTTCTCCTTCGTTGCCTGCTATTGAAACCTTTTTATGTCTTTCCCTAAACTTACTGAATCACACACAGCTATATGGTCTATACAGTCTATTACATCAGTGAACCACACATTTTTTAACTGATTATTGAGCTGGGTGGTGGAGGCTCACACCTTTAATCCCAGCACTCAGGAGGCAGAGGCAGGTGGATCTCTGTGAGTTCAAGGCCAGCCTGTTCTCCAAGAGCTAGTTCTGGAATAGGTTCCAAAGTTAGAGAAAGCCTGCCTCAAAAAAAAGCAAAGCATAACAAAACAAAAACTAACTATTGAGTGATAATGATAAACATTTATTCCAAATTTTGTTCTAGTTTTTGGCACAATAATCAGGCTTGTGATGATGTTGTGCTTTACATTTTGTGAAGAACATCCCAGCTGTGGGGTTGTTGGGAGTCAATGAATATGTGCAGTTAAATTTTTAATTAAGGATCAATGTGTGTGTGTGTGTGTGTGTGTGTGTGTGTATTTGCACGCACACATGCATGCTTGCCTGAGTGCATGCTGCAGGGGGTTGTGAATTAAAATTGAACTAGGTCTTATTTGTTTATTTTTGATGTTTACTTTTAATAGAATCCTCACATCTTCCTTCAGAGCCAAAGATGTGATGCTTGTCTCAGATCATCAGGGTCACTGTAAATGAGTTTGTCACCTGGAGTAAAGTTGGTGCTACCAATGTGTGCAGGAAGAGAGAACATGAAAATAAGTCATTTGGCCTTCTTACGGTGGAGAAAAGACTGTAGTCCTAGTGAGAGCGGGGCCGTGCTAATAAGTAAGAGCAACACTTGACGTTAATAATGATTCTAAAATTGCTGACGTACCTAACTCATTTGAAAAAAATCAGGCTCTCGTAAGGTGAATGAAAAAAAATGAATTTTGACAATTAGGAAGTAATGAAAAGCTTTCTGAAATAACTATTGATTGAAGAAATCAAAAGAAATACTTTGAAGGTTTGAACACATGCAAATCAAACTAGATAGCTGGTAGTGAAGTTTCCTCTTTTCTGAAACATTACGGCTTCAGAGAGAGCTGGGAGTTCCATGCACTGGTTAATTTCACACACAAAGTCACACCTCATTCCCACATTACTACCTCTCTTCCTTTCCTCTGGGTCAGAAGTCAAGCAAAATGTCAGTGTAGCTAATGGTGGGCGTCTCCACTTCTTATTAGTTAGGCATGCATTTGCTCATTGTCTCTGCCAGTCAATCAGCCTTCACTCAAGTCTCCCACTTGGTAAATATTTATCTATCAGACTGTGCACTAATACCTCAGATGTGAAAACAAATGGTTTCCTCTTAGTCTGGTGGGAGATAGAGATCAGAAGTTCTATGATTATACTGCAGCTCACCATTGCCATGATGGGATATGGTTCTGTCCTAAGAGAAAGAGGAATGTGTTCATCATGCCATACCTAGAGGGGAGAAGTTTCTCAAAGATGCCTGTAAGTACAAAATACAGCCAGTTCTTCCAGATGTACAAAGTCATCCTATGAGATTTGGTAGAAATGTTAGCATATTTTCCACAGACATAAGAAACACAGTGGATAAAGGGGAAACAACAACAATTCTCCTGGCTGTAGAAAGTGTTGCATAAGAAGTGGCCAAATCATGCCATTAGCCTATGACCAAACCTGGTGTTTTTCAGACATTATACACAGAGAGTTAATTGATGGAAAGAGAGTTAATTGATGGAATTCTTCATAACTCTGTTGCCAAATTCAGTTACTGAATAATATAGTCCTGTGGTTGAGGATCTATCTGTCTGTCTGTCTGTCTGTCTATCTATCTATCATCTATCTACACCTCCCCACCATGTGCATGTGTGTGTTAGTGCACATGCATGTGAACATACAGAGGCCAGAAAAGGGCATCTGGCATTTTCTTTGTCTTTTTCCCTTTATTCACTTGAGGTAGTATCTCTCCCTGGACCTGGGGCTCACTTCTTCTCATCTATGCTTGAAGTCAGCAAGTCCCAGCACTGCTCCTGTCTCAGTCTCTTTCACAATTGGTTGATAGCTTGTATGGGAGACCTGGATTATTCCTCATGTGCTGAGATCTGAATTCCCACCCTTGAGATTGTGCAGGTAGCACTCTTAATGGCCGAGCCAACTCTCCAGCCCAAGTTGGGGTATCTTGAACATGCAGCGTCATTTGTTGCTTCTCCATTTCCTTGTACTTATGGAAGAATCCACAAATGTTTGTATCACCTTTAAATGTCGTATTTGGATGTATATAAAAAATAAGAAGTTTTTAAAATAATGTCTGTCAAGTTTTCACGCAATTTGAGGCTGAAACTGGGCTTCCCCGTTGACTATCTATGCTGTCTTGGAGAAGGTGCTTCTAATTCCAGCCTTAGCATTATAATTTCTAAAGATATAAATAAAAACTTCAGCCTTCCTGAGTTCCAACAGTGTTCCCACAGTATTTCCAGAATCTCATATACATTAAATTAACAGTGATCTAAAGGCTATGAATAAGTATTCTCACCTCACCTTTATGTACTATGGAGTCAAATTGGTTGCTCTATGAGCAAATAGCGAGGATGTAGGACACATGAGATCTACACATACAATGTTCTGGCCTCAGAAACTGTTAGCTCAACCTGAAAGCCAGGATGCCCTTCTGACAATGTTCAGTGTGGCTGTGTGCTTCATGTCAGCTTGTTATTTGTGAGCGGCCAAAGGGAGCACACGTGTGATTTATAGGCTGAAAAGCATTACCCAAGCTGTACCACTTCTCATTTGCCATAGTTGCTCTGAGGACCCTAGACGGGGAGCTCTCATCATAGGAGGAAAGGCTCCAGTTGCCTTGCTTCTCACACTGGGGAATCTGAGCAAATCTCAGAGGAGACTGAGTCACAGCTGACCATGAGGCAGGTCCCAGCCAAGGAACTATAT